AGACCGGTAGTGATAAAATTGCGGTTCAAACTTCAAGGGTTTTGGGTGCAAAATATCCATTCAATATTGTTTAAATATTGCCTTTAGAGGTTTAGATGGCAATACTTCAACCTAAATTCACAAAAAACAGAAATATATGCCCAAATGTTCAATGTTGAAGTGCATTTGCAATATATCTCCAGGCCGGATCGATATGATAATTTACCAAATATATCAATTAGTAGGCGGTTTCCCAGCAAAATTTGTATCATCACATTTTAGTCAAAACAAATTTTTCACGTGATCGGTAATAAGAGCTTCCATTTCATTTTTTGAGAGGGGGGCGTTTCCAAAACTGGTCTATACCTTTAAAAATACTGGAGTGTTATCATATGGAGAAGGGATTAAAGTTAGCTTTAGTCAATATAGTGATCCTTGGAGCAAACTTCATATTCACTGATGTAAGGAAGAATGATGAAAGAGAGTATGAGGTATTATAATATTATTGAAATAGATGAACAAAATATATTTTTTACTTATGATCATTTAGTTTGAAATTGAAAAATTATTTGAAAATCAGTTTGTGTCCCTTTTCCTCATCTAAAAATGAATGCACACTCATCACTAATGTTAGATTACTAATATTTCTGTGAAAGAGTTATTTCAGAGTGTTTTTTGGGGGAAGGGGTTGAATTGACAATACTGATTTTCAATTCTTGATACTGATTTGTACACCTCAGTTGATGATAATTTAAAGCATTTTATGGCTCATAGAATCTCCTTTAGTTACTTGCAATAGACATTATTTCTTTTACATTTATACCACAAATGTCACTGTACCTCATAAAGCATTCAAATATTATAATGGATGATATTTGTCATAAAGTTGCAGAAAGGTTACTTCCCTCACATTTTCTGACAGGTACCAGAATGCACATACCCTTGTCCAGAAGAAAGAAATGAAAATGCACAATTTTCTATTTTTGATCTGCATTCAACCATACAATTTATAATTCTATAAAAGTAGTGAATGATAAAGCAAACCCTGCTTAGTAGAGTTAATCCTCAAGATTAAAAGAATTTTCCTCCTTAATGTTTGTAATCTGTCAGAGTGATACATTGCACCATGCAATTCTCTGGAGTCAGTGCCCCCAATCTCACCCCATGACGAGGGTCATTGGCAGTGATGTGCCCTAGGCATCACCCCTTTATATGCCTCGATCTCTACCCCCTCCTCCTCCTCCTCCTTACTGCACGAACCATGCAGATATTAATAATCTCCATATCTTGAAGTCAATCATAATCTGTAGACAGGGAACAGATGTTTATATACTTGCATTATGAAAGAATAATCATATGCCATGCTTCAATATTTGTAAATGTAATGAAATGCTGGGTTAGTTATTTATGTCTCAAATAGCAGAGACATTGGAGGATAGGGATAGGAGAGAGGGGTGAAGCATGGGTGAATTAAGTGTTTGGGAGTACATAGTCTGTCCAGAGACGGAACTGAAGAGGGGTAAATAAGTTTTGTTGATCCATTGTTAACATTCTGTTGTATTGCATGTTATTTTTTCAAGAGTTTAGCTGTTCTCTACTATAATTTCCATGGATGTATTAAGGTCATTCTAGTCTTTTCTTCCATTCTTGCTACCATCCTGCATCTCCCTGGGATCAACCACAACCCCCTCCCAGGGGTCACCAACAACCCACATCAAAACTTTTTCCGTCTGCCACAAGCAAAGGGGGGTAAGCCCAGCCCCTGGGTCTGTATTTGTGTTCGACCATTGATATAACACCGGATTAAGAGGGATATATTTCACCCAAGGTTCTTCTCTATGATTGGTACAGACAGCTTCACGCAGCTATAATTCTGATGGCCCTTAGGCAACAAATTATTGAATATTGAGGAAAATTGTAACTTTTTAAGCTTCTGACAAAACATATTTGGCTGACGTGGTGACCCTTGGATACAAATATTTTGTATTCACCCCCCTTTGGTCCCCACCGCAGACATTACATTTTTTTAGTCTCTCTGTTTGAATATTGGCTTCCGAGGGTAACCGAAACAATAGATTATTAGATTTTAAATCAGTTTTGACGACTTGTCATATTTAACCGAGTGACAAATATTTTTGTTTAAATCAACAAATCAAATATCACTACAGTTCTTTTATCACAAGGACCAGGAACCAATGATAGGATGATCTGTTAGCAAGGATAATATATTTCTTTTCACAGGGGATTAGACAGTATAATCACTTAAGTTAGATGGATAACTATTGTAGGGAAGCTGTTAATCCTGATTGATATAGTGAAGTGAGGTGGTGATGTAATCTATAATCACGATAATGATAGGTTTGACTTTTTATCTTGAAAGAAAAGCAGAAACTGAACTGTCTAAAACCCTTGTCCAGATCATTCGTAATTTGTATGCTGGACCCTAAAACCCAAAATTACTTGTTTAAATTACTGTTGAGGATGAATAGAAAAAGAGTATCAAAGACCACCAAACAAGTACAACTACTTAATTTTTTTTTATAGATTCCTAGAAATGTGCAGGGTTCACTGAATTTGAAGATATTGTTTAAAGTTAATATGTACTTGTACAGTACATAGCAAAGTTATTTTGTTAACATACTGCTGTCAATATAATATGCCTGATATAGTGACAAATCTATTTTTAAACATATAAGTTTCTCAGTGGAACATGCTCAATATATCTTTTTAACCAGTTCTGTATCTGTTTCTGCACAGATGTCAGGAATAGTGAAAGAGTTGTCATCTCAAGGTGATTAGTGTAGAATGACTTTCTTCGAGGGGGGGGGGGGGGGGGGCCTTTCTGAAGTTGGTTACCGTAGTCTTTTCTTTAGATGTTGACTTCTAATAAGATTGTGAGGAATGCCATTTTATGACCGCAATTATGGTATCTGTTTCAAAAGGCCTTGTTTGTACAAATACGCCAGCATTTATCAGCTGTAAGTCTTTGTATGCTCACTTCTAGTATTTTGATTACTTGAAGCTAATGCGTTGTGGAGTAATCTCCTATGCTGGCTTCTTATGACAGCACCGGTCACTTCATCAAAGGAGGATTTGGGGTGCTCGATGTGATCGAGAGTCCACAATTGTTACCGTGAAATCACCAATTTGTCATGCCTCATGCATTTAGGCTGAAAATTGGTCTGCTCTGCTGTTTGTTTGTTTTTTTTCTTCAGAAAAAATTATTTCAATTTACACTTCTCCCCAGAAGAACTTAGAAGTCAGTCTAAAGCCTTCAAGTCTCAATGAGTATTAAGTCTCATTCAAGAGTTGAATTTCAACAGTGGATGTGTTAAAGTAAGCTTAGGTCTTGGAACATTTAGTTTGAGGGTGTTTCTGTCAAGTATGTATTGGTGTAGGCATGATTATATTGATCCAAATAAAAGCAATGGATACAACAGGTTTTTCCAGTTACTTGTTTTCTTTCATTCTAAACTCCATTATGCTTTCACATTTCTAGATCTTGCCTTTGCGAACCCCTCTGTTACTAATCACAACCAAATATATATAACACCAACCTGCTTTTCCTAAACTATGTCTGAGAGCCTATTTACACCCAGGTGTTTGTGGACACTCTTAATCCGGTAACATGTGTATTGACTTCAGCTAGACCGACCCTCTCCAAAGTCTTTTTATGATCTCACATGAGAGCGTGAAGGTTGTATATCCATAGAGAGAGGCGCCGATCATCAGCCTGATCTTTGATGTCTAGCGAAGACCTGTTTACCAGTCTGTCTGCTCAAGGTATCATTAAGAGATCATCGTGAGGCTTTTGTGTGATGACAGCGATCCAAGGATTAGACTGTTCAGTTACCTTAGAAGGCATATGAAATCAGCTTGGAAAACATAGAAATTTGAGAGATTATGATGTACACAAAGATGGGTGAAAAGAAGGTTATGACAGCACATGACTGAAATTCCAATTTTTTAAAAGCCTGTCTGTACTAGTTTGGACAGGGGGATTAGACCTCCCTGCAAGGTCACTGACAGGTGGTTATCTCATCAAATCAGCTCTCAATTAACATAAGAATAAGGGGATCATGGGGAGTAGGGGGGCCAACAGACACCGGATAGGCATTGTTTGCTATATAGAGGGCGCAAGTAGCTAGTACAGTGGGGCTTTAAGCTGATGTATCTGCTTTATATTGATGATAAGATGTCATTTGTTTCCCCTGGGGCCTTAACTCAAGTGTCCCACGTTTTATTCTATTCCCATTTTTGGAATTGACAAAAAAAATCTCTGTCAGGGCAATGATAGATATTGATACCTGTTAATTAAGTAGCTACTGAAGCTTAACCATAGTCTTGTGGAATCATAGAGATGTTGATTCATAATGTGATATACGATTTACAATAGCAGAAAATTTTAATAGCATATGATGATTTTTCCATTTACACAATGTTTTTTAGTTTTGTGTGTACATTGGTCCTAGGATTGAACTGCAATGTTAGCCTTACACAATATCCCACTGCCTATGAAATAATACAGTTAGCATTCCATTATTTTGAGTGAATAAATCGTTCTTCATTCAATGAAAGTGGTACTTCAAATTGCATTGTACATTTTAGTATGGAGATCTGCTATGCAGCAATTACAAGGAATTGTTAAACACCACACAAATGAGGAAGCAAGGACAATGGGTAGCTCTTCCCATTTCCAAACAGTCCTGTGCTTGTCTATACCAACACTTGTATCATCTAGAGCTCCTGATTCCTAAGAAATACTTCTATGACTTTAACTCGGTGATCACGGAAAGAGAAAGGAAGCCTTGGTGGGGGCAAAAGAATAATAGACTGGAGATGAATACAAAGAAAAGGGTCCATGGAAGAACAGCTCTAGTCCATTGTGAGGGTGTTAACAGCCCTATTGTGTGCCCCATTCTTCAGATGACAATACAGCCACCATGGGTGGTGAGGAGTAACAGACTGGCCCAGACCAAACTCTAAACATTACCCTTACTCCATTCTTTCTCTGTAATCAGGAGTGGAACATTGAGGAGAAAACAGTTACACCTCTCTTTGTGATTACCATCAAGAAGGAAGTTACATTGAATGTTCTGAGGGTTTTTGACAGGATTAATGTTCAGCCAGCCTGCAGCAAAAAAGGGACAGTAACTTTTCTGTATCTAGATGGAACTCATCAGATTGTGAGGATCGCAGCATATGTTAGGCTGAAACAGGAGTATATAGAAGGAGTGAACCATCGGGACTTCACAGGTCAGGTGAGTTAAACAAAACATATATCAATATGCAGGGACAAGTAAGCAGTGCATGTGATAAAGATATAATTAGGTGTGTCTACATCAGCTCGAGATTGCCAAATAGCCTGCTATTTCTCATTTGGGAAGTGAGCCCGAAGTTACAAATCACGTCTTCATCAGCTCGAGACTCGGCCTTGAGAAATTAGCTTGGGATATTTTGCTCAGCGTTTCGTGCATAGTGCGAGTCTTTGGGCTGGTGAAGACGCACTGGACAGATAGCGGAATATTTTGCAAACGATATAGTCCAAGATTTATCTGATTATCTCGACCAAATATCCCGCTGATTGTAACTGCAGACTGATGAAGACGCAAATTAGCTGGATAAGTTGCGCTCGGTATAATTCAAATAGCGGGTTATTTGGCAATCTCAAGCTGATGACGACAGGCCTAGAGATACTAAATCACAGTCATGTTATTAAGTATCATACTTTCAAGGTTGATTGACAATATCTATCAAATGGGGAAATTCTGTCAAATTTCATGAGAAGATTAATTCCAGCAGTATCTATAGTATGCTTTTCTCCCTCATCTGTTTGAGCAATTATTTTTTAGAGTTAGACTCTCTTGGAGATTTTGCAGGATAAGCTTTAAATTCTATCAGATTGCTTAGCCTATGATATCACTTCTTATTCTGCATAAGTACTCCTGAATCGGTAAGCCTATATGATTATTTTCAGGTGTTCCGGAGTTGTGTACAATAATCCATTTTGGCACTTTCAGATCTTTGGAAGATCTTGTTGAAGGATAATGGATTGTTCTTCCCTTCCCCCTCGTATTGATTGATTGATAATCCATTAATCCATTATCTGATTCTTGTGGTCTGAATTAAGGCTGGGCGTAAGATGATACATCGTCAATGGGATGTGTTCCAGTCTTCTTGTTACTTTATTTTATTATTGATCTGTTTCAAGTGACTTAGAAACAATCAATCATCCTGATCCATCAGGCTTTATTTGCATGGCGCCATGATACAGGCGCAACAAGTCATTCTCAGATATTTGTTTCTGGGAGCTACAACACATGTAAGACCACTCACGATACCAGAATTGCAGCCTTTATAAGCAGGTGGTTTCATGTGCAGGTTAATCTAATACATGTTTCCATAAAAAACATTGCTCTCAAGGGAAACAAAATCTGTTGTTATACTTTGATGGTTGCTAATGAAGATGTGCTTATTTTACATCCATTATCCTCTATGCCTTTTTCTATCCTTGTTATAATGTGTTAGGATATATAACTAGAATTTGTAATATTGTGAGTGTGTCTGATAGGTATATAGCCCTCCTAGCTCTATTACCAAGAATAGCATGATCTTATTAGTAGTTTATTACTGATGTTTTAGGGAGAATTGACCCACTTGCTATGAGAACTGGGTGGCTCTTTTACCTAAACCTATGGAAATGAGAGAACGTAGTTGTCAACTGGTTAATAGTGCATTTCAGAATGTGTGAATTGCTTTTGATAAGACTACTCCTAACTAATTGAAATGCTCTTGTGCTTAAAATACCCCATGATCTCCCTGCAAACCTTGTTTCTCCCTTTGAAATCAAATATAAATTTTGATGAAAATTTGTTCAAATGTTCGGCGTATGTGATGCATTGCATAATAGCAGTTTCGAAACCAGCTAAACTGGACATGTAACTATGCACCACAAGATGAAATATAATTTTGTGGGAATAATTATTGTAGCAATTCTGTAAATTTCAGCATGACATCTATACACAACTGCATCCGTTTATCTTTGGCACAGAATACTTACAAGTTGTATGTTTCTCCTACTTAACTCTCTTTCTTACAAACTAATTTAAACAAACTTCCATTACTACAAAACCAACCTTTTATTGTATACAACCAGCCTAGCTTATTGCTTGTGATGTTTAGTTGGTATGCAATGTTGATCAAGCTATCGATGTGTTTCCTTTCTATTACAAAGTTACAAACTCCTTACAAACAACGAGTTGTGTTTTCTTTGAAGAGGAAATTAGATCCTCCTAATTATTATACTCAAGAGAATACATCTATTGGGGCTGTCTATAGCTGGTTTTCAAAGATTGAGATGTGTGTCGCCTCTAGCCCATTCTATTAAAACCTTTAACATGTTTCTATCTTGCTCTGGTATCTTGTGAAAAGAGAACTCTGCCAAGTGCCAAAATGAATGAATTGGAGCAGTATTAGTAACAACATCAAATTTCTTTAAAGATAGTTTGGTTGTTTGGTTATCCCACCCAGGCGGATGACTGAAGCCTTTGTTGTGTGTTAACGTGCCCCTCCCCTTGTTTCATAGACGCATGTTAAGTGGAAAACACTCCGCTCCTCGGATAGGACGTTGAATGGAGGCTCCGTGTAGAGAAGAGTCACTACCTTTGCACATGAAGAACCAGCTGCACTATTTGTATAAGAGAAGGGGGAAGCCCCGGTGTAGTGGTCCACCTGCACACCCTGGTATAGTATGACAATACTCTGTAAGAGGGATGTACTCAAATGGAAGAGGAAGAATATATTTATCTTTTTTTGCAGGTATCATCTTGGGAGATATCCTAATTAAATGACAGAAAAATCCAATTGTTTTTATATTTAATAATAACAAAATGCTATCATTTGACATTCAGATGTACAAAGGGTTTATAAAACTTACAAAAGTAGCATTGGTCTAACTGTGAAATGTGTCACACTACTTGATGCTCTTTTTAACAATTTTTGAAGGTTTACATGACAAAATCAGACTGAAAAGGTATTACCTAAGAGATACATGGATTTAGTATTATGTTAAATCCATTGGAGTAGAAAGTTTCCTTAGAGCTCCATGTTTAATTGTTACATGTATAATTGAAGAAGAGATAATTCGCTTGCAAGGTTACTACATGTAGTTTGTAAAGCACCAAGTAACCGTATATCCTGTTAAACGGATAAGCAGTCATGTGTTCAGGTACATGTGTGGTAACAGTTGTGACGGCTTCGTAACACTAGCTCAAATTGTGATCATCACTCCATTTAAAATCAGTTGGGAGGGGGGGGGGGGGACATTTTGAGGTCTCTCATGAACAACATTGCAGTGGTTTTCATGCAAATGGGGGCTTTGATTTAATTTTTAGAATATCATATTCAAGGAGCTTCATGTCCTTTGTGAATTGTTATTCCCACTTCTGATTGTGATCTCATACAGTGCGAAACAACTCAAGATTTACAAGAAGAAAACTCTTTTCTCTGAGTGATGCATATTCTTACCTCTAACTAGGGACATGCTATAGTAGGTCCATGCTCTAACTATGGATAAATATAGAAGAAACAATCTGTTCACTATCTCTTATCGGTCATAATTTTGTCAGATCAAAACGACAGGACATAACATTGGCCCATAACTAGCCTGGACAAACCAGTCACCCTGATTAGTCTCGGTTTCTTGTTGCTGGACATCAGCTTTTATCAGAGCCTGTCAAGATGGAGACATCATTTACATTGCATGTAAATCACTTTTTTGTATTGAAGACGCTCCAGTGCTTTAAGGTCTGTTTTTGATGCCTTTCCATACTTGATCGTGTTGACAGTTGATCCAAACTTTTTGTGTGCTAAACTTTTGTTGCTGACACTAAGGAATATAAAATGATGCTTAACATCCCTACAGATTAGTTTCAGTTCAGAACCAAACCTATAAATACCGGTAGTGGTCATAAAGATAAGTCAGATTTGGCCTCCGAAAGAAAAAAGCAAATCCTTTTCTTATCCGATGATAAAACTACGGTAGGCATGAAAGGGCAATTTTCTATCTCCCAGCCTAAATAATAGGATTTGTATTGGACCGACAGTATAGAAAGTTTTATTGAGAGGATCGAGCTTCATACTTAAACCCTTTTGGTTGACTGAGCTGCTTATTCTGAAAACATTCAATTTAATCCGAGGGACTGGTGTTCAAATCCTGGATGAATTAGGCTGCGTTTATGCTTGATTTTGAAGGTAGAATGAACGATCTGAAACGCACATCGTAAACGCTCATCATAATCGCAGTTCCACGGTGTACTGTTTATGCTCACTTCTCTGGCTCCTCCAGGCAATTCTCCCTGTGTGGCCTTAATTGGCCTTGCAGCTGGATTCGCAACCTGCACTGTGCATGCTACGTAGACACACTAGAGGTCAGTGCGTTGACCCCATTGAAACGCGTTTACAAATTGTAAACGCATCTGTTTGTGAGTTTACAATCGGCGATCGTGATCGCCGTTTTTCGGTGATTCTACAAAAGTGAGCATGGACGCAACCGTGTTTTAAACTACACGCGTAACAGATGCCTGATTCTGGCCAGAAAAAGTTAAGCATAAACACGCCCTAAGAGAGACAACTGTAAATGAGATGACATGTTTGTAATGTAGGTGCTATGTAGGTGCTATCATATTACTCTATGATTAAAGGAAAAACTAGAAACCCACCATTATATCTTTTCAAAATGAACAAATCTTTGTTCATTATTTGGTATGTGTCCAAGTGAGAGGTTTTTTCAACTAATATTTAGCTGAAATAATGTAAAGGTGAGCTTTGATAATGTGTAAAAAAGGGTAGTGAATTTCATCTCGACTGTTTTGAAAAAGAAAATAATGCTGAACAAACATGAAATTTGATTTCACATATATTCAATAGGATGATTACTATTTATCAATAATGAAGAGGGAGTTTAAAATGCCCTTCTTGTTCTCAGCAGAAGGAATAATGATATTCTATAGATTTTAACATTGTGCATTTAATTCTCTACGGCATTAACAATTGGTTTGACAGATTCAGGTCATGCACAATTTACTAGCTCAACATTTATTTAAGAACATTCAGTGAAATTGGGTCATGTATAAAAGATACGGGGAAGGGGGTGATGTGTGTGATACCACACTTGCTGAATTGTAAAGCACATTGTATCTAACAGAAAAAGAGAAAAAGCAAAAGAGTGGGAGTAAAGGGGTCTAGCATTCAGTGAATGAGT